TTTATCAGCTCGCATGGTCAGTAAAGGCAAAGATGGGACTGGAAGTGACGACAAAAAAGCCAAGGTAGGTGAACGGTCCCGTGGTTCTCCGCTGCTCGTCAGATTTACCGAGAGGCTGTGCTTTCCGTCTGAGTGTGTTCTCATCGAATGCGGTATTTGTACTAGAGTGCAGCTGGTGTTTAAAGTGCATTGCGTTTTTCTGCAGGCTTTTTTTTTTTTTATTTTTTAGTTTTTTCCCGGTACCGGGAATCCAACTCTGGACCTTGCGCTTGCCAGGCAGGCGCTTATGCCGCTGAGCTATATCCCCGGCCCTCTGCAGGCTTTTAAAAAGTCCAGAATTTATCAACTCTGACGCTATGCCAGGACAGGGCAGTCAGCGAGTTAGTGAATTTATGCTCCTCGTTGCCAGAGCCTCAGTGTAGTTTGATGAACGTATGTTTACATCTTCTGCAAGGAGGTTTGAGTTTTGCGTGTCTTGTACCTGCCGCTGTAGGTGTGGGCGCAGTGGACCTGTGTGACGCACTCTCACGCACATTTAAGATATGTGGAAAAACATAATAGAGAGCATTGAGCAGAGGCAGGGGCTCTGAACAGGACCCAGAAGAGAGCAGCGGGGATGCCTGCCAGGAAGGAGACACAGCGAGGTTGATGCCTCCGGGCAGGGCGAGGCATGGCCAGCGGAGGGACAGCAGGAGGGAGGCGTGGGAGCGGAGAGCTGAGGAGGGTATGGCTTGGTTGCTGCAGAGCCCCGGGTGGGGCTGCCACGGGTTGGGGGGAGTTGGAGGAGGGAAACGTGGCCCCGTCTTAAATGCAGAGTGGAGAAGTGGGGGTTAGCATAGTAGAAGCCACATGTGGTCTCACCGAGGCGGTGACCGGGGCTAAGCCCAGTCAGGCTCAGCAGCCGCCGCAGGGTCAGCGAGAGGAAGCCGGCTCTCGCCGCAAGCCCAGCCGCTGCGTGTGTGCCCGGCTCTCACTGCAGCCGCATTTCCTCTCTCAGGCACTTCGCACCTTAAAACTGCTGCGAAGCGCACAGTGGTGGGGTTCCGGGAGCAGTCTACCACAGCCCTA